TAAAAATATTTTAATTTGGCCAAAATGGATGAGGTTTGGGATTAAAACTTCAATTTGATTTTTCTGCTGAGAAATTCATAAAATAGCATTTTCCAATTTTCATCAGCGAGTGGTCAAAACAAAGTACCCAAGTCTTAGAGCCGGTCAAAATGGGGTGTCTACATTACCAAGAGGTTCAAAAGGTTTGTGTAGAAGAAATAAGGTGTAAGGAACTTCTTCATAAAAGACTTTGAGAAGAATAGAAGATATTTTTCTATATTCCATTCAATTAATATTCATATACACTGCTCAAGATATTTATAGAGAACAATATCTAACTAACTCAGTAACTGATTAACAAATTCAGTAACTAACTCAACTAACTAACTAACCAATTCAGCTAACAACCACTTTAACTGTTTAACAAACATTACAGCTGTGATGAATCAGTTATCATTGCTGACTTCTTATTAAGCTGAGACTGAAGCTTTGACTCTGCCTCTAGCTGCACCTGAGACTGCACTGAAGTGTGTGAGTGCTGCTGTGAGTGCTGCTGCACCTGTGTCTGATGTATCTTAGCACTCCCCTGCAAGCTGATGGGGCAAGGCTGCACAAGAAGCTTGTCTTTCAAATAAAGAAACCGAGAGGTAGAAAGAGGTTTGGTGAAAATGTCAGCCACTTGATCTGTTGTAGGAACATATTTCAAAGCAATCACTTTGGCAACAACTTTATCCCGAATAAAATGGAAGTCAATTTCTATATGTTTAGAGCGTGAATGGAAAACTGGATTAGAAGTCAATGCCATTGCAGAAATGTTGTCACACCAGAGCTCAGGAACAGAAGATGGAAAAATATGCATATCTTTTAACAATTGCTGCAGCCAGGTTAATTCAGCAGTGGCATTAGCTAATGCTCTGTACTCTGCCTCAGTAGATGATCTAGAAACAATAGGTTATTTCTTAGCACTCCATGAAATTATATTAGAACCCAAATAGACACAGTAACCTGAAGTGGACTTTCGATCAACACTATCACCGGCCCAGTTTGAATCAGAAAAAGCATGAAGAGATAAGGGACCAGCAGTAAAGTGTAGCCCATGATGAAGAGTACCTTTTACATATCTCAACAAACGTTTAACAGCGTGAAAATCAGCGTTTGTGGGCAGATGCATATGCTGACATGCTTGGTTAACAGCTAAGGCTAAATCAGGTCTGGTAATAGTGAGGTACTGGAGACCACCAACAATACTCCTATACAAAGAAGGATTAGAAAATGGAAGCTCATCTGAAGAAGAAGAAGGAGAATAAGAAGCCTTCACAGCTAAAGGAGTGGAGCAAGGTTTACAATCAGTTAAACCAGCTTTGTGAAGTAGCTCAGTGGCATACTTAGTTTGAGATAAGAAGTAACCCTGAGATAAGGCATTAACGGAGATGCCCAAGAAATAGGACACAGTCCCCAATTCCTTCATGGAGAACACGGTATGCATATGCTGAATAAATTGTGCAAGAAGAGCAGGATCACTACCAGTGACTAGAATGTCATCAACTTAGACAACAAGAATAAGCAAACTGATGGAAGTGTGTTGAACAAAAAGAGAGGAATCTGAATGACTATTAACAAGGCCTTGAGAAATAAGGAATTTAGAGAAAGTAGAATACCAAGCTCGATAAATCACCGAGATGATTCCAATCGATTCCTATTCTGAAATCACTCTGAGATTTAAGGGATCACCGAGCTGAAGCGAGAGAGTGAGCGAGAGATTTGAGGCATCTTCTTTCTGAGCCTGAAGAGTAAAGAATGAGAGTCTCAAGCGGAAGGGAGAGGGTGCGAGAGATTATAACACATTCGGAGGCGTTTTCTATCAGCTAAACGGTGCCGTTTTGAGTAGCACAAAAGGCGACGTTTTTAAAACGCCGTTGAATATTAAAAAAGACGACGTTTAAGAAAACGCCATTATATAAACGCCTTTAAAACCATTTCTTGTAGTGCCCACCCCCACCCCCACCACTACCTCCTTCACCACCATGCCACCATCTCCTACACTATCTCCTCTACCACCACTCCACCATTGCCACCTCCACTATACCACCTCGCCGCCATTAGAAAAAAGAAATTAATAAAATAAATAAATTAGTTGGATTGATTTGTTCAACTCATACCCAATTTAATTTAATCTATTTATTAAATGTATGGAGTTGAATTGTGTTGTTTTATTGCACAATTGATTTTGACTCACCTGAACTTACCTATATTTAAGAGTAAACTAATTTGGAAGTTCTAATATTAAGTGCCACGTGGACCATAAAGGGTCTAACAATTTAACTAAGTCCAACTTTAGGGATAAAATATAAATCACAATCTTTTTAAAAACTGGGATGGGTTAGTGAGAAGAATAGAAGATATTTATCTATATTCAATTCAATTCAATTTAATATTCATATACACTGCTCAAGATATTTATAGAGAACAATATCTAACTAACTCAGTAACTGATTAACAAATTCAATAACTAACTCAGCTAACTAACTAACCAATTCAGCTAACAACCACTTTAACTGTTTAACAACCATTACAGCTATGATGACTCAGTTATCATTGCTGACTTCTTATTAAGCTGAGACTGAAGCTTTGACTCTGCCTCTAGCTGCACCTGAGACTGCACTGAAGTGTGTGAGTGCTGCTGTGAGTGCTGTTGCACCTGTGTATGATGTATCTTAGCACTCCCCTGCAAGCTGATGGGGCAAGGCTGCACAAGAAGCTTCTCTTTCAAATAAAGAAACCGAGAGGTAGAAAGAGGTTTGGTGAAAATGTCAGCCACTTGATCGGTTGTAGGAACATATTTCAAAGCAATCACTTTGGCAACAACTTTATCCCGAATAAAATGGCAGTCAATTTCTATATGCTTAGAGCGTGAATGGAAAACTGGATTAGAAGCCAATGCCATTGCAGAAATGTTGTCACACCAGAGCTCAGGAACAGAAGATGGAAAAATATGCATATCTTTTAACAATTGCTGCAGCCATGCATATCTTTTAACAATTGGTCCTAAATAAGTGTATTTTTTTAACTTTTTTATAAAAAGATGTGTAAAAAAGTACAGAGAAGATGTTGATTGATGTGACCCAAAAAAATAAAAAGATAGACTAAAATAGATTATGCCAAACAAGGCTTCATTCTAGTCCTTTTATTCTTACTAAAAAAAAAAAAAAGTCAATATAATTAAAACTGTAAAATTTGTTGTCTTTTTTTCAAATCTTGGACCATATTAATATAATTTATTATAAAAAAAAAAGAAAAGGAAAAAAAGGAGAGAAAAAAACAAAGGAAAGCAAAAGAATAAGAATATACCAGGGTTGGTGGAGTCATTGAAGATGGACTCAACCATGGCAGTAACTTCATCTTCCCTAATAGGTCTAAGAGCTTCAAGCCTCTTTGGAGTAAACAATTCAAGGTTACAAACCTTCCTAACCTTAACATAGTGAGGACCATAGTCGGCCCAAATGAGGTCCTTCCCATCTCGGCTAAACCTAGCCGCCGATCGGCTCCGATGCCGATCAGCCAATTGTTGATCATGTTCTTTAAGCACTTCTTTAGCCAACTCTGAGCTCGAAACTATCACGTTCAGTGTCGAGCCGAACCAAACAGATATAATTGGGCCGTAGACTTGGGCCCAATCCGCAAAGCACCGGAACCTCACCAGTTTTATGTCATAGAGGTTGCCGACGATTGGAAGTGGGCGGGGGCCCGGTGGGAGCTTGAATTTGAGCTTTTGGTAGAGATAGTAAGAGAGGAAGATGAAGAGGAGGGCTAGAGAGATGGGTAGCAGAGGTAAAGCCATTTTTTTGATGAAGAATGCGTTGAGATTGGTTGGGGGTGGCTTGTGGCTAAAAGAGATGCGTGGAGGGAGGTTGATATAGAGGGGGGACAAAATAGTGGTAGGTGAATAATTTAATTAGTGGTAGGTGAATAATTTAAGTGCATTGATAGAGGCCCTTCCAATCACTACCCCACAATCTCCACATACACGTGGCGGGTGGTGATTGGAGGAGAAGGAAAATAAAAAAAAGCAAAAGAAAAAGTAGCCAATCAAAAAAGAGAGGGGGTCAAAGGGGTGAGGGGAAAGGGGGTCTTAAACATTTTTGATAATTTAATTACATGGGGTGTTTGGTGTGGATTATAGAGGTGGTTATAGCTTATTTTAATTGGGAAATCTGTGTCAGACTATTTGGTGTAATTTCTGTTTATAGTTTTTTGGGCAAAAATGTTGGAAAATTTAGGTTGTATCTGGTTAGTTTCTCTAAATATATTTTTACCCCATGTGTTTGCACATGGCGTTTGTTTAGAATTTTCAAAATATAATTTCACACTTAATTTTAAAAACTTTGTCAAAGACAGGAAAATTTGGACTAATCGGTCGTCCCACCGATCATCCGGCCAGTTGACCGGAACATTGCAATTTTTTTTTTTGCAATTAACATATGTTAATTTTTATATATTTGAAAAAAATATATTTCGAATTTTTAAATTTTTTTATGTGTTTTAATAGAATTTTGAGTTGTATCTTTGGCTATGAATTGTAAGTTTTTGTATCAAATATCATATGTCACATAAAAACTTTCTCACTTAATTCAAAACTCTTTTCAAAACTCTTTCACCAAACAAACTTTCCACACTCAAATCATAATTTCAAAACTCACAAACTCAAAATACAACTCCATACTCTAAAATCATAGTTAGAAAGTTCTACTAAACGCAACATTGGTTTTTATAGGCTTATTTTGAGCTAATTTTGAGCCCAAATTTGAGTGGGTTCCACACGTCTTTTAAGTGAGTCCAAAGAGATGACGTGTTTCTTACCGCATGACAAGTTATACGGTGTTCGTCAAAACCATTTATGAGTGAATGGGAAGTTGACGTCGTTTTCAAGTTTGTGGAATGAACAATTAAAGAATAAAATGTGAGTTTCCTTGTAAGGCATGTCCCACATTGAAACCTTAAGTGAGCTTATGTGGGTATATAAGCTCTAGGTGAGAATACTTGTGCTGGGCCCCAAGGGCACTCCAAGTTTGTAGAAGGAAGGAGCTATGGACATAGTAAACATTGGCCCAAACCACCGTACGCGCGCTACTGGTCGGGTCGATTCTAATTTTAATTTTTTGGACAAAATTTATTTGAATTTTCCCAAAAATTCTTGAAGGAAATTAATTCAAAATTTGCACCAAATTTGAATTCAAATTTTCTGTCCATAATTGTGCATTTTCCAGTCCAAAATTCCCAATAGATAAACTGTCTTTTAACAGGTTTAAAACTATCAGAAACTGCCAGCAGTTGTACAAATTCAAACTGTTGCAGTATCTGTTCATCCAAATGTCATACTTGTTCGGTTCAAAACTACATCTGTTCGGACAGATCTGTTGGTCACCATTTTGCCTATAAATAGAGGACTTCTAGCAGCTTTCTGATTCGGAAAAATCATTTTCTTGCTTTCCTTTGTGCTCTCTTTGCATTGTTCTACATACTATTTTTTTTAGGAAAAATTCGGAGAGTATAGAACACAGGTTCTAGTTCGTCGTACAGATTGTTTGGAGATCATTATATCATGAGAGATAGACGCTATTTATCTATAAGCACTGGAGCGGGACGAATCTATCTTAAGGACAGAGTGTCACACACTCGACTTGATCTAGAAGTTTTATCGGTAATAAATTCTGTAAGTAATTTATTTATTTTTGTTTGAGTTGTTTCAAGTTATTTATTTTACACAGAAAATTGTTGTAACAAAAAATAGCTTAAATAAGTTAAGAAAAATTGATTATATAGAAGCTGGGGAATGGATGCTTTTGACTTCTGCTATTTGATTATCGGCTTTTAACTTATAACAAGCTGCACCAAACAGCACTATTTTAATTTGAAAACAATATATATAATATACAAAGTAATAAACTTTTACTCAAAAATAATAATATGTGATACAAATTTAATTGAATCTCACAAAATAACATTAGATAATTTTTTTGACAAAAAAATCTGGGTACTTAGACTTTTCGATATATATTTATATATAAAAAATTTCAAATAAAAATGTGGCGATGGTATTTTGTGAGTAATGTTAATGGAGTTTAGATTATTTTTATTATAAAGTTGTAATGTGGGATCTTTGTTAGATATTCAATAGCTATAAAATAATGTCAACTTAACATTATTTCAAATTATGAAAATTTTGTTACACCTATTGAGATGATTTTTTTATAACCATTAGATGATATAATTGAAATCCTCCATTACAATAATGTAATAATTAAATGGAATATTAATATATACTGACTCTTAAAATATCATCTCTAAAATTTTTTATACTGACGTGGCCAGTGCTTGGGTCTTAATTAGTTGATTCTTAAATAAATCAATAATGTAACAGTCCACCACGTCATTAAAAGTAATAATAATGATTTAAAGGTCTTAGGGATATTAAGCATTTTCTTTTATATATGGGTGTTATATGTTTGATTGTGTACAAAAATTATTTTTTATTTTTGTAGTATTAATATTTAAGATTTAAAAAAAAAATGTGAGTACTATAAGAACATCTTATAAATTAGGAAATAATTAAAGTAAGTAAAAAATAGAGGTGGGATGATGTAAAAATAACTACAAATGTGTAGAGTGTATCTTTATTTGAGTTATTAGAAGTATCATAATCATATTTGACAAATGATACAAACACCCTCTGTTTAATTTAATATTATATGAATATATTTGCTGCCCTATGAAACTGTTCTAACTTTGAAAACTGTTGCATTGTTTTAATCTGATTAAAAAAAAAACAAACAATAATGTTGGTCTAATAATGTAGGATCAAGAATTGTCAAAAAGATACAAATGAGCAGTAATGTCCCTAGATTTTAAAGAAGTGCAAGCACATGAAGACTAATCCCACGTAAAAAAAACAAACATGCAAAAGGCAGGGGGATGTCCGCCTGCACAAATGCTTGTATATTTGATTTTGGTACCCACAAAATTACTTGGAACACATTACATTCTCATTAAGAGTTCAATTATGATGAAAACCTAGGAATAAAAATGACAAATAACAAGTAAAATTATATATCGACAGCAACGCGTTTGTATAAGTAAGCAGGCAATCTTGGTTTAGCAACAGCTTGTACTGGGGTCTTCATGTAGGTAACCAATCCAGGGTTCTCTGACATATTGATCTCTTCTGGCTTCACCCCTTCCGAAGGTGTCCAGACAAAATGGTGTAGAAGGTGACCGAGCATAGATGTTACCAAGTTGATCCCAAGTTGAGCACCGGGGCAAACACGCCTCCCAGCTCCAAAAGGCAATAATCGGTAATCATGACCCTTCATATCAACATCCTCCTCAAAGAATCGTTCAGGTCGGAATTCCATAGGGTTTTTCCAAACTGCTGGATCACGAGCTACAGCCCATACATTTACATGAACATTAGACCCTTTAGGGATGTCATAGCCACCGATCTTGACATTGGCGTTGGCCCTGTGGGGAAGCATCAATGGGGTTGGAGGGTGCAACCTCAATGACTCTTTGGCTATACATTGTAGGTAAGGGAGGTTGGAGAAGTCGGGTTCAATCATGACGCGTTCAGATCCAATCACACGGTCTAGCTCCTCTTGAGCTTTTTGTTGCACCCTCGGATTCTTGATCAGCTCAGCCATTGCCCACTCAACCGAAATAGCAGTAGTGTCCATGCCTGCAGTGATCATGTCCTGCATATATAACATACTTCGTAAGTCAATAAAAAATTGCCAAAGTATTGCTAATCGATGTATATGATGTCTTTTACTGCAAATAGATAGACTTTACCCAAAGGAGACCAATAATGGTGTCCTCGCTAAGATCATATTTCTCTTGCAGAGTGAGCAATGCATCGACAAAATGCTGTTGGGCACCGCCACTCTTCTGGCGAGCAAGCGTGTGTTCTTCCATGATAGCTCTGGTGAGTCGGTCCCTACGCGCACCATGCTTGGCGAAGGCCTCTTCCTCGAGAGGGAACATCCAACGAAGCCATGGAATGTGCTCTGCCATGGCAAGCGATGCTCCGAGCTTGAGACCGTTGGCTACAATAGCCTTGAATTCAAGACCTTGCTCATCCATCACCCCCTCTGAATTCACAAAACGTTTTCCAAATGCTAGTCTTGTTATGTTGTTGAATGCTACTGCTCCCAAATATTTCTTCACTAACAAGGGTTTCCCATAGTTATCTGCATCCAATGCATTTAGAATTTCATAATCACAATCATTCACATATATTTATATATCACTGCATTGCATTAGTTAATGCATAAATGGAGAGGATTCTCTCGACAATGGACTCAAGGGTATTGCTGGGATTGGTAGAAGTCAGTATAAGTTTCGTTTTAATAACTTGAATCGTTCATTTTATTGGATTATATATGTAAATCATACATGAAAAAAAGTAGATTGATTTAATAATTATAGCCATATAATTTTATAATGTTTTTATTCAAACAAATAAATAGCTTATTTTTTACATGATAACTATTAATCATTTTTGTAAAGACAAATATCAAAAAAAGTATATGACTATTAATATTCGATTTTTTTGGTAAATAAGTTACATAATTTTAAAAATAAACATTTTAAATCATCAAAAATAAGATGTATACCTGGCCATTATTTTTCATGTTTTGTGGGGAGAGTGGGCTTAATTTTATTTATTTTTAAAAGTATTATAAGCTAGTTATGGTCGAAAAGTAGCTTTGTTTGGTTGCCTAATTAATGATTTGTTTTTATTGAAAATAAAATTTTGACCTCAAATACTATACAAATTTAATGCTTGATAAAATCATGAAATGTTGCAATTATTCACTGTCCAAGACCGTTAGTTTACTCTGTTAAATTATAGTAACCATTTAATGGATCTTTTTATAATAGTTTTCACTTGATAATTTAATGATTTAAGTTTAGAGTTGAAATAAAATTGTATTATTTTAAAATATGTTATATTTTACTTTTATTTCAATTCAAATAGTTGAATTATGTATTTTGTTAATATGCCTTGTTGTGATAAAAAAAGCTTAATAATGTCATTGCAAAAAACTATGAAAAGGAAATCGAACTCAGCAATTATTATTATTATTTTTTTTCTCTCTTTATTCTATTTTTCCTTTTAATAAAGGCGGTAGGTTGTGGGTGTGTTGTTCAATTGTCAAATTTATATAATATTTTCTATTTTATAATTAATCTCTACCTACTGACAACAAAGGGCCAAAAAAAAAAAAAAAAAATTAAAATCAAAATCAAACTAGCTAACCTTTGACTAAAGTACCTAATCTAAGGTTAGGTGAGTGGGCCATACCAAACTTAAGTTATTCATTTGCAATTTTTTTTTTTTTGTAATTATCTATAATTTAATTCACCATTCCAAAAGTCAGAGGTAGATATTTTTTCGTAAAATATATATATATATATATATATATATATATATGTGTGTGTGTAGTACAAAAAGATGAAAATCTGTGGCTATTCATTTATTAAAAATGTTTAAGAGTTCCAACTAAGAGTTCTAAGAAAACCCTAATGGGTAAGTTCTACTGCTAATTGATGTGATATTTTTGAAATTTTTTTTTTCCTTCACTATCAGCTCAATAAAATTGGCTTTAGAACTTGTTGTCTACAGTTCTGTACATTCATTCATTTGAGGTGTTCAGAACCCAGATGCTGAGATGGTCCAATAAAAACACAGAGCTACATGCACCACAAATTTAATGATATATGGACAAGTCTACCGACACAATGACAGAAAATTTGAATAGACTTGAAAATTTGGGAAATTTATAAAAAAAAAAAAAAAAGGTCTACAAACATATATAAAAGGGATCATTAAAATTAGACACACAATAATCATATTAAAATTGTTCATTTATCTATATTATAATATTTAATTTATTTTCAACATAACTATAAAAATGAATAAATTATAATGACTTATTCTTTAAGTTAAAAAACTATATAAGCCTCACAAATTTAATATAACTTATATTGTGATCTTTTTATATTAAATATATATTTTATTTTATTATTTTTATATCTTCACATTATCACGTGTACTTATGCTGATCCTTTTTATCCTTATTAAAAAATGTCAGGTATAAATTATAACTGTTAAAATTTGTTCTTTTTTTCAAATCTTGGTTGATGTTAATATAATTTGTTATTAAAATAAAATAAAATAAGGAGAGAAAAAACCAAAGCAAAGCAAAGCAAAAGAATATACCAGGATTGGTTGGAGTCATTGAAAGATGACTCAACCATGGCATAACTTATCTTCCCTAATAGGTCAAGAGCTTCAAGCCTCTTTGGAGTAAACAATTTCAAGCGTTACAAACCTTCCTAACCTTAACATAGTGAGGGCCCATAGTCGGCCCGAAATAAGGTCCTGCCCATCTCGGCTAACTTAGCCGCGATCGCTCCGATCCGATCAGGCCAATGTTTGATCCCATGTGTCTTTAAGCACTTCTTTAGCCAACTCTGAGCTCGAAAGAACT